AGTCCTCGATTTTGTGTGTGTGTGTGTGTGTGTGTGTGTGTGTATGTGGTTTCTTTGTGTTGGTTATCTATTTCCTCTTGCATATCATTGAGTTTTCTTACCAACCATGTTCAAAAATCTTCTGTCATTTTAGTGTTCTGGATTTGGTTGATGTCCTTTTCTAGTGAGCTGGTGATCCCCTTTGGGTATGTGCTTTTCATTTGATTCTTTATACTTCCAGAGTTCTTTCACTGATTCCTTCCCATCTGGGTCAGCTGTTGCTTCTTACCGTTTTTCATTTGAATAATGACACACCCTGTTTAGTCTCTGAGCCAGTAGGTGGTGTTCGTGGGTGAGCTTCAACCACATTCTGTATGATGAGTCAGTAGATACAGTAAAAGGGTGTGCAGAATGACCTCCCTATCACTAGGAGGTGCTTGCTGGGAGGAGCAGGTTGCAGTGTTGTTTTTGGGTCCTTTAACCAACTCTTGTTCCTCTGGAGATGCACTCTAGTTCCACAAGGGGTGGGTGGGACCCTGGGACTTCCAGGTGTGTCCTTATTCTCCAACCTCAGGTCGGGGAGTGAGGCTGGGCCTGCCCTCAAGCACCACAAATGCTGTTAGCAGGGGTCAACGGTCTGTTTTCTGCTTCTGGGCAAAGCTGCCAGGGAGGGGTTGAAATGGCCCCCTTCAGCTGAAAAGTCTCTGTGTAGGGGTGGGGCTGTCTGAGACCTTCAGTCTGGAGCAGGCCTCGCTCTTTTCCACCCTACCCTATTCTGTGGTTTCTCCTGGGCCTCTGCCAGCAGGCAGGACCTCAAATCAGTGGATCTCCCCTGGCTGTGATGCAGCCCGGGGGTTTCCCTGCCCAGAACAGCAGCCTGAGCTGGGTGCATGGCCCTCCCATGGGAGGAGGGTTGCCCCTCAGGAATGCTGATCTGCCCTGAAGGCACACACACCTCAGTAGGCTCATTCACAAATATCCCTTCTGTGCCCCGAGGCAATGCGATCGAGACCTGGGTGTATGGGATCTGGTCTACAGGCCTGTGCCCTGGGCCCCAGAGATCAATCCCTGACCCTGCCAGGGAGAAGAGTGCTGGCCTCAAGTCACCCACGGGGTGTCCAAGCTGGATCGATGTCTCTCTGTCTCAGGATTTCTCCCACTTTCCTGGAGTCCCCAGACAAGCAGTACCTGGGAGGGCTGGCAGATAGGGAGCTCATAGTCTGAGTACCCCTCAGTCTGCTGTAGGGCCCCAAAAGGAAAGGCTCCATTCCTTACAGATGCCTATGGGTGGTGACTAAATTGGCTCTCTCAGCAGCTGCGTGCAGGAAAGGAGAAGGGGAGAATGAAACAATATGGTGCCTGCCGATCGGCTCGGGTCTGCAGGCCAAGAGGTGCCCTGAGGGAGCTGAGAGCCTGGTGCCCTGTCTGCAAAGAGGCTCACCGCTCATGGCAGCAGCCATCTCTGAGCTGGTGTTAGCAGGTCTCTGCAACCACTTGGGAGCCCACCAGCAGTCCAAGATTCAGGGGAGGGAAAATTTAACTGCTCCATCTACCCTTTTCGCTAGTCTCCAAGACTCGAGGAGGCCTTTCTCTTTTCAGTTCTCTTCTGCAACTTCTTCCCGTGGAGTCTTCTGTAGTTTCAGGCACACTTCCTTCCGACCCTTGTCCTATCTATGTTTGTCTGCCTGAGCTCTTGCTCAGGCTGGTCTCAAACTCCTGAGTTCAAATGATCCACTTGCCTAGGCCTCCCAGAGTGTTAGGATTATAGGCCTGAGCCACCGCGTCCAGCCAGTATCTTTTTTTATTCCCAGAAGTGAGCTGGGATCTCAAAGCAATGTGATGAAATTAATTCCAAAGAGTTGCAAGATCCCTGAAGGAAAGATGGGACACATAAATAGTTTCACCATTGGCAGAGCACAAGAGGAAAGGGTGACAGGCATAGAGGTGTATAAAAGAGAACAGGTTTGGGATTGGCTAGTTGGAATAATTTCAGCAGGCCCTGGGTGATACAGGCCAACTGTAGTTGTCTGATACCCGGTCGTGAGGTGTTTAAGGGAGGTGGGTAGGGGCGCAGCATGTGACAGCCCAGTAAAGGAGGTGATTGCAGTACAGGCTCTGGGTTAATTGGTTTGTATATGAAGAAATGTTCACAGACAAATTTTTGGCTGTCTCTTAGAAATTAGCTAATCCTGTGAGGGACAATTCTTCCAGGGTCAGCAAGACCCCAAGATGTCAAAGCATCAAAATTTAGAATTTCTTACCCATGTTTTCTCCTCGCTCCCTCTGCCCCCTGATTGGCCTGCTGCTCCACCATGTACAGGCTTCCCCAAAGCAGAATATGTCCCCTTCTCTCGGGATCTGTGAATACCACAAACTATTTTCTCAATGGCAGTCATCTCCTAATCTGTTGGCCTTATGATACCTAAATAATAATAATAAAATCTATTTTTTTAAACACAGTACTCCACGTTCATATAGTAGGAGTCTACTGCTGAAGGATGGGAAGTCCTCTGTGTGGTACAGGCATTTGGAGCCTGCTGGAGATGGCAGTGAAGCAGGAATGCTGACAAAAACTCTTCAGAATTCTAGACCTGACCTTAAGCACAACAAAGCTGCAGCTTACCACTGGAGGAATTACTTTTGTATTGAATGTTTATATTTGTAATAATTACAGATTGACCTATAGCAGTAAGAAATAAGACAGATCTCATGCATTCTTTTCTCAGTTTCCCTCGATGATAACATTTTGCAAAATATAGTACTACATCACAACCAGAATATTGACTTCATACGGTCAATATACAGAAGAGTTCCCTCATCCCAAGAGTGACTCAGGCTGCTCTTTTACAGTCATACACAATTCCCTCTGGCTCCTACCTCCCCCTTAGCCCCCGACAAGCATTAATATGTTTTTTCCTATAACTTTGTCATTTCAAAAATGCTATATACATGGAATCATACAGTGTGGGACATTTGGGGTTGACTTTTATCAGTCAGCATAATTACCTGGATATCCATTTATCGATATTCATTTATTAATAAACCATTCACTTTTATTGCTGAATACTCCACAGTTTGGTTAAGCATTCACCAGTTGAAGAACATCTGAGTTGTTTCCAGTTTGGGGCTATTATGAATAAAGCTCTTTTAAAGATTTGTGTATAGGCTTTTACATGGACGTATTATCATAGCTTTTGGAAAATTCCCAGGGGAGCATCTGCCGGATCATAGAGTAGTGCCATGTTTAGTTTGTTAAGAAACTACTATAATGTTTTCCAGAGAGGGCTGGAAACCCATTTTGAATTCCCCCAGGCAAAGGATGAGTGATACAGTGTCTCCACATCCTCTCCAGCATCTGGTGCTGTCAGTATTTTTTATTTTAGCTATTCTAACAGTTAAGTAGTGATATCTCATTTTGGTTTTGATTTGCATTTTCCTAATACATAATAATGTTTAACAGCTCTCCATGTGCATTATGTGCCATCTGTATATTCTCTTCAGGAAAATATCTGTTCACGTCTTTTGCTCATTTTCTAATCAGATGGTTTGTTTTGGTTTTTACCACTGAATTTTGAGAGTTTATTTTGTATTTTACAGGCTAGCTCTTTGTTGGATGTGTGTTTTGCAAATATTTTCTTATAATTTGGATTTTGGCTTTTATTCCTCTTAATTGGGTCTATTGTAGAACAAAAGATTTTTATTTTGATGCAGTCCAATTTATTTATTTTTCCATTTATGGATTGTACTTTTGGTATCAAGTCTAAGAAATCTTTGCCTAGGACTAGATTCCAAAGATTTTCTTTTATATTGCTTTTTTCTCCATGAAAATTGTATAGTTTTATGTTTTAAATATAAAGCCATGACCCACTTTAAGTTACTTTTTTTCTAAGATGCAAGACTTGGGCTTATTTGTTTGTTGGTTGGTTTATTTATTTAATGGACACCCAATTGCTCAAGCACTATTTTTTTAAAAAGCTATCTTATCTCTATGGAGCTTTTGCCCTATTGTCAAAAAGTAATGGGGCATATATTTCTGGGATTCTCTATGTCTTCATTGATCTATGTTTTTATCCTGCAAATACCATAGTGTTGATTAACGTGGCTATATATAGTAATAAGTCTTAAAATTAACTAATTTCTCCCAGTTTATTTATTCTTTTTCTAAATGATTTACCTATTCTAGTTCCTTTGTTTTTTTATATGCATTTTAGAATAATTTTGTCTATATATACCAAAAAGAAATCTTGCTGAGATTTTGATAGGAATTACATTAAATCTGTATAGTATTTTAGGGAGAATTGCCATCTTTGCAATTGGACTTCCAACCCTGAATTTTATATCTATCAATATATTTAGATTTTCTTTGATATCCCTCATCAGAATTTTCAGTTTTCAGCACATAAGTCTCATTAAAGATATTTTTAGATTTATACCTTAATATTTTTTATGTAACTATAAATGATATTGTATTTTAAATTTTGATGTCCATATTTGGAAATATTATTGCCTTTGGGATGTTTATTTTCTATCCTGTAAACCTTCCAAACTCAGTAATTCTAGGGAGTTATTTTTGTAGATATCTGGAGATTTTCAAAATAAATAATCATATCATCTTCAAGCAGTGATCATTTTATTTCTTTTTTCCTGATCTATATGCTTTTTATTTCTTTTACTTCCATTATTGCACTCTCTAGAAATCCAAGCAATATGCCAAATTAGAATGGGAGAGTGGACATCTTTCCCTTCTTCCTTGTCTTAGTAGAAAAACATTCCTTTCTTTTACCATTAAGGAGATATTAGCTGTGGGATTTTTATAGATGTTTTTTGTCTAATTGAGTCAGTTCACCTTTATTTCTATTTTTCAGAGAGATTTTGTTTTGTTTGTTTTCTTTTTTTTTATGAATGGATATTGGATTTTGTCACATCTTTTCCGTGTTAATTAATATGATCACGAGATTTTTATATTTTATCCTGTTAATATGATAGATTACATTCATTGATATTCTAATATTGAACCCAGCTTATATCCCTGTAATAAACCATACTTGAGCATGGTGTATCATTGTTTTATTTATTGCTGAATTCTATTGCTGATAATTTGTTAAGACTTTTTGGATCATATACATTAGGGTTGCTGGTTTATATAATAGTTTTGTACTTTGTCTACTTCAGATATCAGAATAATAACTGCTTTATAAGATGAGTTGCTAAGTTTTCCCTCATCTTCTATTTACTGAAAGAGACTGTGTAGAATTGGTATTAGTTGTGCTTTAAATGTGATAAAATTCTCCAGTGAAATCATTTTGGCCTAGAGATTTGTTTTTGGAGGTTATGAAATAAATTATAAACTTAAACATGTTATATTTGTTAAGTTATGGTAGTTTCTTTTTTCTATGAATCGGTCTATTTTATCTGAGCTGTCAAATTTATGTGTGTAAAGTTGAACGTAGTATTCCCTTATCCTTTTTACATGTACAAGATCTATGGTGGTGGTCCCTGCTTCATACTTCATTCCTGATATTAGTGATTTGTGTCTTCTCTCTTTTTCTTTGTCACTCTTCCAGAGGTTTGTGAATTTTATTGGTGTATTCAAAGAACCGACTCTTTTCAAAATTTATTTTCTCTATTGCTTTTCTGTTTTCAATTTCATTGGTTTCTGTTATTATCTTTATTGTTTCATCTCTGCTCCTGGCTTTCAGGTTAGTTAGCTCTGATTTTTCTAGGTTCTTGAGGTGGGAGGTTAGAGTATTGATTCAGAAGTTTCTCTTTTCTAATAGATGCATTTAGTTCTATAAATTCCCTTCTCAGTATTTCACTAGCTAAGTTCCACAAACATTGATATAGTATATTTGCATCCTCATTGAGTTCAATGTAATTTTTTTATTTCCCTTCGGAGTTCTTCTTTGACCCATTGTTTATTTGGAAGTGTGCTGTTTAGTTTTCAAGTTATTGTAAGATTTCTTTTTATACTCCTATTATTGATTTCTAGTTTGATTCCATTGTGCTCAGAGAACACAACATTTATTTCAATTCTTTTACATTTGTTAAGGTTTGTTTTATGGATATGGATAATGGTCTATTGATATAGGTTCTATGGACACTTGAAACAAATGTGTATTCTACTACTGTGGAATGGAGAGTTCAATAAATAATGATTGGATCCTGTCAGTTGATAGGTTGTTAAATTATTTTATATACTTGTTTCTTTGCTGTATAGTCATTTTATCAATTTTTGAGAAAGGAGTATTGACTTTTTCAACTGTAATAGTGGATGTGTGTATTTCTACTTTCAGTTTTCAGTTTTTGCTTTATGTTTTTAAATTTTATGTTTTAATTGACAGAAAAAATTATATGTGTTTACCATATACACCATGATGTTTTGAAGTATAGGTACATTGTGAAATAACTGAATCTAGCTAACTAACATGCATTCTCTAATATAGTTAACATTTTTTGTGGTGAGAACACTTTACATTCATTCTCTTGGTATTTCTCAAGAATACAATATATTATTAACTGTAGTCACCATACTGTACATTAGATTTCTTAAATTTATTCCTGCTATCCAACTGAAATTTTGTATCCTTTGACCAACATCTCCACAACCCTGATTACCATCCACTCCATGCCCTGGTAACCACCATTCTACTCTTGCAGATTCCACATGGGAGTGGAATCATGAGGTACTCATCTTTCTGTGCCTGGCTTATTTCACTTAACACAATGTTCTTCAGTTTCCAGGTTCATCCATATTGTTGCAAATGATAAAATTCCCCCTTCTCCGTTATGGCTGAATAGTATTCCTGTGTGTGTGTGTGTGTGTGTGTGTGTGTGTGTGTGTGTACGTGTGTGTTTCATTTCTTTTGGATGTATACCCTTTAGTGGGATTGCTGGATCATGTGGTAGTTTTATTTTTAATTTTTTGATGAATATCCATACTATTTTCCATAATGGATATAATAAACTATATCCCCACCAAAAGCGTACAAGGGTTGTTTTTTTCAACATCCTCTCCAACATTTGCTACCTTTTGTCTTTTTGATGATAGCTTTTCTAACAGGTATGAGGCAGTATCTCGTTGTGGTTTTAATTTGCACTTCCTTGGTGATTAATGATGTTGAACAGTTTTTTGTTTCATATACCTGTTGGCCGTTGGCATGTCTTCTTTTGAGAAATGTCTATCAGGTCCTTTGCCCTTTTTTCAATCAGGTTATTTGTTTACTTCCTATTGAATAGTTTGAGCTCCATTATATTTTGGATATTAGCCCCTTATCAGAATCAGATGTCTAGTTTGCAAATATTTTCTCCCATTCTGGAGATGGTCTTTTCACTCTGTCGATTGTTGTCTTTGCTGGGTAGAAGACTTTTAGTTTGATGTAATATCATTTGTCTATTTTGGGGTTTTTTGCTTATGCTTTTGAGGTCATATCCAAAAGTCCATTGCTCAGACAATTGTCATGGAGGTTTCCTTTATGTGTTCTTCTACTAGTTTCATAGTTTCAAGTCTTGCATTTAAATCTTTAAATCATTTTGAGTTGATTTTTGCAAATGGTATGAGATAAGGGCCTAATTTCATTTTTCTGCATATAGAAATCCAGTTTTCCCAACACCATTTATTGAAGAGACTGTCCTTCCCCCATTGTGTGTTCTTGGTGCCTTTGTCAAAAAACAGTTTGCTATAAATGTTGATTTACTTCTGTGCTTTCTATTCTGTTCCACTGGTCTATCAGTCTGTTTTTATGTGAGTACCATGTCGTTTTAGTTACTACAGCTTTGCAGTATATTTTGAAGTCAGATAGTATGATGCCTCCAGTAATTTTTTTTCTCTCAAAATTGCTTTGGCTATTTGGGGTTTTTTGTGGTTCTATATGAATTTTAGGATGGTTTTCTCTATTTCTGTAAAGGATATCATTAATATTTGACAGGGATTGCATGGAGTCTGTAGATCACTTTGAGTAACATGGATATTTTAAAAATGTCAATTTTTCCAATTCATGAACATGAAATATTTTTCCATTTAGTCATGTCTTCTTAAATTTTTTCATCAATGTTTTCTTAATTTTTAGTGTAGAGGTCTTTCATTCCATTGGTTAAATTCATCCTCAAGTATTTTATTTTATTTTATTTTTTGTAGCTATTATGAATTGAATTGTTTCCTTGGTTTCTTTTTCAGATAATTCACTATTAGTATATGAAAATGCTGTTGATTTTTGTACATTGATTTTGTATACTGTAACTTTATTGAATTCATTTATTAGTTGTAACAGGTTTTTGATGGAGTCTTTAGGGTTTTCTGTATATAAGATCATGTCATCTGCAAACAGGAACGATTTAACTTCTTCCTTTCTAATTTGGATGCCTTTTATTTCTTTCTCTTGTATAACTGCTCTGGTTAGACCTCCAATACTATATTGAATAGAAATGGTGAAAGTGTGTACCCTTTTCTTGTTCCTAATCTTAGAGGGAAAGCTTTCAACTTTTCCATGTTGAGTATGATGTTAGCTGTAGGTTTGTCTTATATGGCCTATGTTGTGTTGAGGTACACTTTTTCTTATCTTAGTCTGCTTTCTATTGCTTATAACAAAATACCTGAAATTGAGTAATCTATAAAGAAAATGAATTTATTTCTTATAGTAATGGAGGCTGAGAAGTCCAAGGTTGAGAGGGGCACATCTGGCGAGATGTTGGTGGGGACTTTCTGCAGAGTCTCAAGGTGGCACAAAACATCACATGATGAGGGGGCTGTGCATGCTAGCCCAGGTCTCTCTTATACTTCTTATAAAGCCACCAGTCTCACTCTCATGATGATATATTAATACCTTAACCCATTAATCCATGAGTTAATGGATTTATGGATTAATCACCTCCCTGAATCCACCTCTTAATCGATTCACTTCTTAACGGTCCCACCTCTCAATACCGTTGCCATCTCTATTCTCTTTTAACATATCCATGATATATTTTTTCCACTCTTTCACTTTCAACCTGACAATATCCTCATATTTGAGTTGAGTTTTTTATAAACTGTGTATAGTCGAATCATGTTTTTCAATTGATTCTGTCACTGTGTATATTTTCATTGGCTTACTTAGACTATTTATATGTAATGCATTTATTGTTGTGTTAGTGCTTATGTATGCTTTTCATTTTGTATTATGTTTGTTCCCTGTTTTTGTTTCTCTCTTTTCTTTTTTTTTTCTTCTTATGGGTTACTTGAACATTTTTTAGAATTCCAATTTCATTTACCTTTATTGTTTTTGAGTATATTACCTTACGTAGCTTTTAGTGGCTGCTCTGAATATTACATTATATATACTACCAGTGACCATTTTACCAGTTTAAATGAAATGTAGAAACGTCATCTTTTTTTACATCCCTTTACGATCCCCTGTTAATAATATAATTTTAAGAAATATTTCCTTCACATACAATTAAGCATTTGCCAAGAGAAATGAAAATGTTTACAGTCACAAAGATTTGTAATCAAATATTGAAAGCAGCATCATTCATAGTTGTGGGAAAGTTCATAGAGGCAGTGGAGTAGTAATTAGACAGATTGATATCTAAGTTTTCTACATGTCATTCACTTATATTCTTTAAACTAGTATGCTATGCTATGATAGAATGTGGTTCATAGAACTTCATACGCACCTCAAGAAGAGTCAGCATTTCATATAAGTCAATAAATCCAACTCTGTCTTTTAAGCCTGTGGTCCCAAACCCCCGGTCAGTGGACTGGTACCAGTCTGCAGCCTGTTAGAGACCTGGCAGAGCTCTGCTGCACCCCAACCCACACCATGGAAAAATTGTCCTCCATGAAACTTAGGAAGTGGAGGTGCACAGCAGGAGGTGAGCAGTGGGTGAGCAAATGAAGTTTCATCTGTATTTACAGCCGCTCCCCTTCTAATCATTTGCATCATTGCCTAAGTTCCAACCCCATGCTCCCACCCATGGAAAAAATTATTTTCAATGAAACTGGTCCCTGGTGCCAAAAAGGTTGGGGACCACTGTTAAGGGATGGCTTTTATGGGGATGTTTCTGAGAGCAAGAAGATGAGAGATTGACACTGAGAAGCCTATGAAGACACAAACTAGTATTCCAGAGAAATTGTAGAAGCACAGTAAAGGCAGAATGATCTGTTTTATTTTGCTGATATGTATAAATATAGTTTAAATAAATTTTAAAAATTTATTTAGTACACCTTAAAAGTTAAGTCTTTAATCTACTTTTCTGAATGGTTTACAGAGGTTATTTTTAGCTTTAATATAAAGTATCTAAATTAAATACTAGCACATCATTTTTCTTATTAGCCATTCCTTTGTCGAATGTTCCAAAGTGATCTACTTATTCCTGTGACAAAAATGAACAGTGAGATGAAACACAGAACAAAGGGCATCTTGACAGTTAGAATGGTCTAAAGAATATTCTGACAAAGTATTCAGTAGCATATCCCTTAAAGTAGCCAGCTAGGTGGGTAGGGTTGATATTACTATTCTAAGAATAGATTTGCTTACAAATGTCAGGGAGCCCTGAAAGAATTCTAATTGATAAGTTTACAGTCACTTACCTTGTTTCAGATCTATCATTTGTCTTGCTTTCCCAGAGCAAAATGTTCTAACAGTCACCAAATATGAGAATGAGGAAGCCCTGCAGTTGATTCATGCCACCCTAATCCCCAAAGCCAATTAGCATTCAGCCTTGCCATGTAGCTACCCTTCTAATGCTTTTTCAGCTCCATGAAGTTCTGGGGCTCTGATTAAAAACAGTGAGTGGCCTTGATCACATAAGATGCTTCTATAAAATCACTGGGAGCCAAGCAGCAAAAGAGGACAAGACTCAACAGAAGGATAGAACCTGCATAATAATTCAAAAGAAAGCCACATTGATATATATCAAGAAAGACATTTTCATCTTAAACAATTCATTGACAGAATTAGATGAGAAAGATGGAAAATGAGATAAAACTCACATTTGTTGTACAATATCATTTTAAACAATATGATCTAAAGAGAAAAGAAGACATAATTATTGTGCCTACTATATATCACGTACTATTTAGAATTACGTTGATCATCTCATTCATTCTCAGAATGATCATTGAAGGTACATGTTATTTTCTCCATTTTACAAAGTAAATGAAAATGAAAGAGACGAAAGAATTTATTCATGTTTGCGGATCCAGTAGGTAGCAGAAAAGACTTCAAATATAAGTCTCTTTAATCCTAAAGACCAATGTATTATTAGAAAAACAATTTTTTGGGTCTCCCACACTACCATTAGGTAATCTGTCTTCTAATTTATCAATTAACTTCTTAGCTTCTCATTAGCTACCTGTCTTTCAATAACCTGAGTCTTTAATATATCTATTTTAAATGACTTCATGTCTATAACTACATATAAATATGAGATTAACTTGATAACAGCCATGAGTGAAAGAAAGATATTGCCCAATTAATAAAACAAATATATGTAGCTTTGGGGATGGTCAACAAAGCACTATTAGAGAGAAAATTTCATTAAATCCTAATGAATACAATGTACATATAAAGAAAAAATGATAAAGGTTTCTGCATACTATGATGGTAATATTTTCAGGATTTAAGTAAAAAAGCAGAGTGACAGAGAATTTGTACCTTAGAGAAGTTGTGTTTAAGAAGTGGAAAATATAATGATATATATTAGATTTTGCTTATATTTTCAAAAAACAAAAACACTGAAAAAGAAAATAAGAAGCTAATAAAAGAAGAACCAGAAGTGAGGAAAGGAATGGATGCGAATAGTCCCTTGTTGCTATGGGAATGAGACTTTCCATAATGAAGTTCCTGTTTCACTAAAGTAAAAGGTTAGCAGACTTAGTTAAGAACTCAGTTGGCACAAGATTGGACACTGGGTTAAACAACCCTGAATTTAAATTCTACCTTTTTGTTTTCTAGCTAGATGACATTTACAGTTTACTTAACATCTCTGTGTTTCAGTTGTTTTATTTACAATAATTGTGGTACTGAATTCAAAAGGATGTAATAAAAATTAAATAAAATAATGAACGTAAGGTGACTTGGTATATATTAATTGCTTGATTACAGCAAAATATCTCCCACATTGTCATCATCACTCTCATTATTTATTTCTGTGGTCAAGGAACAGAATTAGCAAGGAAATAGATAATATCTCTTGGAAGCCACTCAGGAAAGGCCTGGGACTAGGAAAGTCTCAACACAAATAGCTGGGCAATGACAGGTAGAACTAAGGAAGAGTGTTCATATGTTTGGGGCAAAATCAGCCTCTTTTCCTAATCTTTCCATAAATGACAACACTGGTACCTCAACATATTTTCATACAGTAATAATAGGCCGGTAGACTCAAGTGAAAAGATGAACACTAAGTCAAACAAAAAAAATTGTTGAGCAAACTTTGAAAGTTACCTTGCAAATGTAACGTTAAAATAGTTTTGATTTGTTTAATGTAGTTTTACACCTTACCTTTATTCCATAAAGGCTTTTAGGAAAAAGCACCATATTTATGACATTTTTATTATCCCCTGATATCGTTTTTATTCAAATACTTTCAATTCAATTCACTTGGAGAAATTTCTCCCATAATACTGTTCTTATAAAAAGAAATTATGCAGGACATAAATTCCACGTAACTAAATTTCTTGAATTAAGAAATTAACACCCACACTGAGAGAAACCAGAAGACATACCTTTCACCAATACTATGAGTAATAAATTTATAAGGGAAGCCATGGTATCCTTGAAGAGCTCTGTGATCCCTCTCTGTAGGCCAGACCTCAGAATGGGAACTGCAGTCACTGAATTGGGAAACTTAAAGGCAATGGTATAATTGTATTCTAGAGTGGTAGGGGCCACTCAACCACCAAACACAAGGTAGGGCTGGTTACCTTAGTGGACAGCAGAGTTAAAGTGGCAATCAGAACAGTCTGACTCACGCTGACTGTATCTCTGACGGTGTTTGATATAGTCAATCATGGTTTTTCTAGAAGTAAAATATTAATAGACAGGAACCTGCTAAATTTTTACTTGATCCATACAAAGGGTCTTCAAAATATTCATGAAAAATGCATATTATGAAAAAGCTACACATGAATTTCAACATTTTTTGCACCAAAATAAACTCGTACTATCTTGTTATAAAATGTCTTAAGGGGATCTAGTTTGAGGCACTAAGAAGGATAAGACATCAGTTTGAAAAGAGTCCCTATTAGAGCAACATGAATTCTACAATTGAAGCAAGAACAGACATCAAATTTATGGTGAAACT